TATTTTTAGTAGAGACGGGGTCTCGCTCTTGCTCAGGCTGGTTTCGAACTCCTGAGCTCAAACAATCCGCCCGCCTAGGCCTCCCAGATTGCTAGGATTACAGGCGTGAGCCACCGCGCCCGGCCCAGCTCAGAACTCTTCTTTACTTGCGAAAAGTTTGTCGAGTACTTACTATGTGCCAGGACCACGAATACCCACTATACATATTAGATCCTATACGAAAAATGTATAGAATACTGAGTGGCCAAGTTACTTAATAGCTTTGTGCCTCATTCTCCCCACCTGTAAAATGGGGCTTAATAATGGTACCGGTCTTATAGGGTCTTGAGAATTCAGTGACTTCGCCACCCACGCCCAAGGCCCGCCAAACTGTGCCCAGCATTAGGAAATCCTGGGAGCCTTAGATGCTGTGACCCTCCCTTGCAGGAATCAAGTCTAGCAGTGCAAAGAAATGTTATTTTTCTTTTGTAATTATGGAACCCCTACTTACAAAATATAAGAACCAGGGTGCTTAGGAAGAAAGCTAAGTAATGGAGGAGACTTTGTCTATCCTGGGGAACCATGGAGGAAAGTTTTCTGGAGGAAGTAAGTTTAATCGGAGATTTGAAAGGTGAATAGAAAGTTGGCCAATATAGTGAGGGGAACTCTGGGAGGGCGTCTGGGGCAGAGGGGATGGCAAATACAGACGCCTGCCTGATCCTGGGAAGACTGAGCAGGTGAGTGGGGGACAGCAGATAAGGCTAAAGGGGTCCATTGAGGATTTATCATAATGCCTTGTGGACGTTAGTGAGAAGCTTGGGTTTTATTTGAACTTCTTGGGAAACCAATGGAGGGATTTGAACAGAGGGTACAAAGATAATACTTGAGTCTCAAGAAAATCCTTACTCACGTGAAATTTATCTCCACAAAGATGATTTCTTTAAAAATTAAACGTAGACTTGCCCTGTGACTTAACAGTTCCATTACTAGGTGCTATGGACTCAGTTATGCACCCTCCCAAATTAATACTTTGAATCCCTAACTTCCCATGTCACTGTATTGCAGATGGGGCCTTTAAGGAGGTGATTAAGATTTAATGAGGTCATAGGGTGGAGCTCTGATCCACTAGAACTGGTGTCCTCATAGCTCTCTCTCTGCTATGTGAGGACACAGGGGAAGGTGGCCGTCTGCAAGCCCATAAGAGAGCCCTCACCAGAACCAACCATTATCTTGGACTTCCAGTCCCCAGAACAGTATGAAAATAAATTTCTGTTATTTAAGGTCCCCAGTCTATGGCATTTTGCTATGGCAGCACAAGCCAATTAATGCACAAGTTATCTAACCAAAAGAAATGAAAACAAGGCCGGGCGCGGTGGCTCACGCCTGTAATCCTAGCACTCTGGGAGGCCGAGGCGGGCAGATTGTTTGAGCTCAGGAGTTCGAGACCAGCCT